CCTTGCCCTGACACCCGCCCCCAGAGCCCACCCGCAGGACCCCCCCAGACCCCCACCCGCTGAGAGCCCAGAGATGTAGAGGGAGAAACAGCCTGATGCTCGGTCCCAGACTTCTGTGGCGTTTCCTGCTCACCGCCATCTCCTTCCCTCAGGGCATACTGGGAACTGCAGCTGCCAGGAACTCTCTAGCTTAGTCTGCCACAGCAGTGTCTTCTAGGTGTGAGCTGGGCCCAGCGGCCCTTAGTTGTGGCTAGTAGCACTGCAGCCCATTTCTGTGGGGGAAAGGAAATTCTGCACGCACAACATTAATTTCTGCAACAATTTGCATTGTTCAGCGGTGGAGAATTCCCCCAGGAGTACCATATGGAGGCATCTTTTAGGAAAGTTTGAATCCCCTAAAAATTAGGTTTAATTGAAAATGCTGGAATAAACTTGTAACTTTGCCATAAGGTCTGACTACTGGTTAAAACTATTTAAGATGTAGGAACACACATAATACATTGTAAGAGTAATATTGAAATAGTGTTGCTTTTTATTTTCAACTTGAAGAGGAGGGAAGGTCTTTAGGGACTGAGCATATTATCTCCTCAGAATTCTAATCTCTGAGGAGAATTCAGTTATCGGTTAGTTCAAAAACTATGTAGCTTTTCAAGGGGCTCCAACTCAAAAAGAAATTAGACTTGGAGAATGAAAGACTACAGATTTCAAAATACTGAACTGAGGATTACATCCAGGCTTTTTACTCTGTTACCAAGTGCAGGTCTAATAGGTGGGTGACCGTTCCTAAAGAGAAATGCTTCAAATGTCTCAGATGAAAGCATTAACGTAAATGTTTGACTTTCAGAGATACTGAACATCCATAGTTTCCACTAAAGTCAATGGGAGCTGTGAATGCTTAGCATTCTGAAAATTGGGCCAAATGGTACATAATACCCATTTCAGAAAATAGAACACAAAGTGACACTCATTTTAGAAAGTCTTCCTCCTTGTCTTCTGTGATGCTGATACATTAGGCCAGCTTTTGTCAAAGAAAAAATATAATGACAAGTTGTGGAAGTCCTTCCTAAAAAGGTCAAATTAATACCTCAGTGCTGTGATATGCAGTGAATCACATCGTTGCCAGGCTTAATTCCCAGACTTTCTCAGCCAAGAAAGGTTATCTCCATTGGTTGCCTATCACCTCATCCTTTACTTAAAATATAATTTGTGGTTTTTAAACGTCTGGCTTGTAAATTGACTAATTGGCCATCTACGAATTGCCAACCCAAAAGTACACATAGGCTTAATTTGTAATTATGCGATTGGTCCTATTAACTTGAAGTTAAGATGGGATGTAAATCTTTACAGGGTTGGGTTTTTGGTTTGTAGTTTTGAGGAGCGAATGAGTATATAATAATAGTTGAAGCAGTAACGCAAGGTGTCTAGTTACACAGCTAAACCGCATGCCGCTGTTGTGCCACAGTATGAGGCACAATGTAAAAAATAGAGTGCCTGCAATCACTAGGCCAAGGGTTCTCAAACTGGGGGTCGTGACCCCTCAGGGGGTCGTGAGGTTATTACATGAGGGGTTGCGAGCTGTCAGCCTCCACCCCAAACCCCACTTCACCTCCAGCATTTGTAATGGTGTTAAATATTAAAAAAATATATATAGTAGGGCAGAGAAAAGAGATCTCTCTAGGGAGAAAAATCACCATCCCTAGAGACAGATGTATGATCTAGGGATGGTTAGTCTAAATGTGAGTATCAGGCAGCGTCATTGCCTTAAGAGGCAGAAAAGGGTAGGTGACAGTAAATAACTTGGTGATGAATTTGGTACACTAATGTATTAGTTCTGCTCTGAAAAATGAATTCGTAAAAATAGCATAATTGAGTCCATGTTTGTCAGTGATTTCCAGATCGTATTTGCTCATGTACAGGTATAAAAATGTGTTTAATGGCCAGCCCTGCAAACTCAGCATGGGATCTGAAAGTTAAGCTCCGTTTTTCTATGTTGTGCAGCATGACCACCAATGAAGACTCAACAGACTAAATTCTATCCTCAGTTACCCCTGTTCTATCCACTGATGTTTCAAAGGGTAACTGAGGGTAGGATCTGGCCCTGTGTTTTTGGGAGTTAGATTGGTATTTTCAAAAGAGTCTACGTGAGTTAGGAGCATGAGTCCTACTCTCTTTAATTTTGACTTGTGCTCCTGTCACTTAGATGCTTTTGAAAAATGCCACCACTAGTTAACAGCTCTGCCTTAGGATGCAAGAGCCAGAATAGAATCCAGCTCGTTCTGTTAACTCTGCAGTGCTATCCAGAGTAAGAAGTAGTAAAAACTTGTGTGTGTCACTTAACCACAACTTCTTAGTCAAGTAATTTTGACAGTCATTTTCCAGTATAGAAGTAAAGTACTTCAAAGTCCCTGATCTGAACCTGTGTTAGACAAAAGAATAGCTTAGGTCATAGGAGCATTGTGACAGAAATATGTACAGGAATCAATAATAATTCACCCTCTGAGAGATAGGGCATTGTACATATCAGTCGTCGTCGTCGTCATCATAATTTTTCCTGCACTATCAGTTGCATGATATCTTGTTATGCGGATGATACCAAACTGGGAGGGATTGCAACTTCTTTGGAGGACAGGGTCATAATTCAAAATGATCTGGACAAATTGGAGAAATGGGCTGAGGTAAACAGGATGAAGTTTAACAAAGACAAATGCAAAGTGCTCCACTTACGAAGGAAAATGTTTTTTAGTTGTAGTTACATTAAGTGAGGAGTTACTGTATATTGAAAGTTGTTCAAATTGCAGTGGACGGACTTAATATTTTTCCAGGATTCTGCTCCACGTAGGACACTTAATATATATTGTATAAAGTATATTGTAGTGCAGTGTAGGCTGCATATGGTCTCCAAATTATATAGATTTCAGAGTAACAGCCGTGTTAGTCTGTATCCGCAAAAAGAATTATATAGAGTTATACAGAAAGGAGGATTTAAAGCTTTAAACACTCCTGATTCTGAAATGGTATGCTGTTGAAGCTCTGACATGACACTACATGCAGAAATCATCAATCCAGAATCCACCTTTCAAATTATGACCTTTACCCTTTTTAAGATGACCAGCAAATAAAATTAGTTATATAATGAATATCTTTAATAGAAAAAGGTGTATTCTGCACATAATATAGGACCATATTGTACCCTCCTGCAGTCAAACCCATAGAAGGATGACTGGGGTTCCAGAAAACTTCAAAATTCACCTTAATTTCCTTCTAGCACTACCCTCAGTTGCAGAAGGAGGAGAGTTTAGACGAGGCAGAGGGTTTGAATTCCCAAACCCAGAGTTCAGGGGAATTCTGCTATCAGCTTTGCGCATCATAGAGCTCCTCTGAGGAAGGCTGGCCCCCTGTGGTATTATCTTCCACCAACAACATTTTCACCCAACAGCATGGCTCCCTCAGGGACTGTACTCCCATTGGACATCTTCCTTTATGGGTGTGTACTAGAAGCCAGGGAGAAGCTGTCCTGTAAGAAAAATATATCCTAATGTGTGTATTTAACAATACCATGATTTTGTAAAATCTAAATTGGACTTAGTTTGCATCATATGCATAGGCACAACCTGACAGGGATAAAAGGGACATAGTTCCCCTCCACCTGCACACACACATTTTCCTTCCTCTCAGTGCTTGTCTGTGCACGTGCGTACACAGCGCTGCTGATACACTGTAGGGGAAACAAAAATGAAAATTCTTTTCCCCTTCATGCTATAGACCTCTCCCAGCTGCTGCTTTTCTCCTTTCACCACAACCATGCCACACCCTGTGCCAGCCGAGTCCTGGTGAACACAAGTGTTGACAAATGAGGCATCAGGTAAAACTGTGTTTGGTCTTTTCTCCTTGCTGGTGATGCTGTTATGCAGCTACCACCTCCCTTCCTCCTCACTGTATCCACATTGGAATAAAGAAATAGTATTCTGGAAGGGAAACAAGGATGAGAATTGGGGAAACATCAGGAAGGGTAGCAGTGGGAGTGGAAATGGATATGTTTATAGTAAAAGAGGCTATTCCTCTGCATACTCTTCAACAAGCTCCTAAATGTGTGTGGGTGGGTTGTTTTATTTTGTTTTTTGGGGTTTTTTTTTGCAGTTATACCTTGGTTCCTTGTATCAGTTACAAACTTTTGTTCCAAATGTGGTTTTGCTTTGGAAAGGCATCATGTAAAATGGGCACTTTCTTAATCAGTACCACTTCTCCGTGTATGTCAGAGTCCTATTCGCTAACTTTAGTGTAAAAAATATAAGCTTTGACTACTTTTTACTCCTACTTTAAACCAACACAGCCTAAGGAGGAGTAAATTGTGCTCTGTTTTGGTTTCTACATCAGCAGGAATTAACTTGTTTGGGGGCTGTATTTTACTTTCCATTACAAATGTGTAACATTTGCAGATGACCTGGGTTGCAGAGGCTCAGTTGGGTTGAATTGAGCTGACTTTTGTTGGTAGAATCTATAATAACAGTGATGCAAAAATCAGAACGCAGCTTAATTTTCATTTCAGTACCTAGGGCTGGCAGTTAGGGAGAAAAAAAAAAAGTCTCTCTCTAAATAAGGCAGAGTCTGAGAAACAACACATGGGAACCCACAATGTCTTCTGAACAGAATTACTTTTCAGAGTAGAACCACACTTAAAAAGCCTGATGTAATCTAGAGCAGACTTCCATAGTTATACCATAGTGTATCTTGGGAAGCAGGAGACAGTAGGTCTGCAAGGTGTGACGTAAGTGTTTGTTTGATCTTCAGTTCTTCTCCAAGTCGCAAATACTGTCAGTTATGTGATGAATGCTCTTACTCTTGCTGTATGGGCATGCTGCAAATCATTCTAAATATGTTGATTTTTTTGTCATAGTATGTACAGGTCACCTTTTAAAGATAGTCTATGCTTTTCTGCCAGAGAGTGAATCTGATTTTTCTGTGTTGAATTTAAACCATTTTGTTTTGTGTTTTATTTGCAGGCCAAAGCCATTGCATGAAATTCCAGCCTTCTACTGTCCTGACAAGAACAAAGTGAATTTCATTCCTAAAAGTGGCTCTGCTTTCTGCCTTGTCAGTATTCTCAAACCACTTCTTCCCACACCGGATCTTACGCTCAAAGGCACTACTCATAGCCTGACTGTCTCCTCTGGCATGACACCTAATTTGCTACAGCCCATTGCCATGGCCTCCCTGTCTGCAAACACTGAGCAAGACCGGATCTCTCGTGGAACAAGTACAGTAATACCACAGACCTCTATACTCCAGCAATCAGGACATATCGAAGAAGCTGAGTGATGAGTCTCCATTGTGCAGGCATTGTTCTGGAGAGACTGCTAGGAAGACCTTGTTTAAACTAGTTGTGACTGGTCACACCTGTTTGTTCATTTTAAGAGCTCATGACATTGTCATAGTCATATTCTCCTGATCTCCATGACTATATTGGTAGCATGCTGAGAAATCTAGGAGGAAGCAGTGCCGTACTCTACTTGTGAAGACTCGCGTTCAATTTCTCGCCTGTCTTTTTTTTTTTCCCCAAGCTCTGATAAGACAAAGACTGTTACTAATTCTTTGCCATTGGAAGGATCAGTTATTGTGATGCTTTGTGTCCTTTAGACTTTTTCAACAACAACAAACATTTTGAGAGACAGCTGATGCCAGCAACCACTGTAACTTGCAGAGAGAGAGGTAACCATATGGCACTGCAAGACCCATCTTTTGTATGAAAATGAATATTTTATAACAAGTTTGCATTTTCTGATACAGAGCAGGATGTTCAAAAGACACTTTCATAGCCACTGTTTTCTCTTCTTTGGGTGGTACGTTTTTCTCAGCTGTTTTCCAGCTGCTGGGACCAAAGGATTGTTGAAATACTTTAGCAGTCTCCGTCATGTGACCTTGTTCAATGGTCCCTACTCCCAACAAAAGCAAATAAATTAATGCATACAAAATGTAAAACAAAAGGAAAGAAAAAACAATATTAGTATGTTATGTGCATTTGGTTTTGATATCAGAGGTTTGTGCTTTGGTAAACCACATTGTTCTTGAACGGCTACTCCCTAGATAGAATTCCTGTGTACATTTAATTACATGGGCAGAAAATAGCATTTTAGAGCACTTGTCCCAGTAGCGTAATCACTTTTCCCTAGAACTTTTGTTTGGGTTAAAAAATGTCTCTTCCCTGCCTCCACCCAAACAAACAAACAAACAAAAACAAAACCTGCCACTTGGCTCTTGAGAGATCTCTTGGTTACTTGTGTAATTCAGTCTGAATCATGCATCAGTTTTTGGCACAAAATTCACTCTGTTGTGGCTGATCACTGTACTATAGACCCTAGCCACATGATACTGAAATGGCTATGCATGATTCCTCATCCTTGTCATAATGCTGTTTTGTGGGTGTGTTGAGGGTAGTAGTTTGTTAGGCATGGTATTTGTTACACAGCAGTCAACAGCAACAGATATGTTCTCCCTTTTTGACTAGCAACATTGTCGAGTGTGTCAGAGAGAGGATATGTTGATGCCTGGTTCTGGTTTGCAGCTGTTACCAGTTTCCTTTATGCCTCTGTGGTTCTTTGACAGTTGAAATAAAAAATGAAAACGGGGAGGGATGTTCAAAGAGAGCTTGTTCAGGGACTGCAGTGAGATTTCTCCCAGAGTACTGAAATGCACTTCTTGTCTTTAGATAAATATCACAGTCCAAACATCTGCAACTGCTTTAATACCAAAGTATCTTCAGGTTACAAAAATCAGTTGACAGAATCCCTGTTTTGGGGAGGTGGCTTCAGTCATTTCAAAGTAGGTGTTTCAATGTATAGTCTCTGGGTCTGAATAGTCACCCACTGCATATGTGCAGCTCTCATTGACTTACATACCAACAACTCCCATGGATCAGCTGCATAATCACACACCTGTTTGTAATTACATCTTTTTAAGAACCATATCGCAAATGTAATCGTTTTGTTCTTTGTGTAACACACTGAGAATTTGGTTGCAGACACGTGAGCCAGGAAAAATACTCGTGTGTCTTAGCAGCTAATAGTTTCTATGTACTTATGATGCACATTGGGTAGTTCCTATAAATCCCACATAATAACATATAGCAATAAATCTACTAAAAGAATAACTGTAAAATGCACCAGCCTACATAAGTGCTGCATTTATGGTATAATGAGCACCCTTTTTAAAGTTCCCTAATAACCAAATTTCAACACTTAGTCCATTGTGGTTATTTATAGGGTTATTAGATCTGTTAAATTAATTAACAAATTGAGGACCAAATCCTACTCACTTTACTCATTCCCATTGAAATCAGTGGGATTACTCATGTGAGTAAGAGCACTTGGTCATGAATGAACATATTTGGTGCACACCAATAAAGTTGGGGGAGGGGAGAGTTTGATAAGATAGTAGTGGTTAGTACATCCAAGCTACATTATAAAAGATTACCATTTTAGGAATAATGGGACATTACTAGTAAATTCTATGGACACCTAAGAGAGGTCTCCTTTCTAAAACATTTAAAAATCATGGTAGCTTATTTAGACAGCGTTAGGGTTTGGACAAAATCTGATATTTTTGGCTTTGTGGAAGATGGAAATACTTAGGCAAGGGGACTTTTTGTATGGCATCCAAACTAATTTCTACTTCTTTCATAGTAACAGGTAAAGTGCTTCTGCCATTAATGCCAAACAGCATGGTGCTTATCAGGAGATCTTAACTGGATAGTTAAGTACCAAAGGGCTAAAGTCAGCATATAATAAAACTTTTAGTCTGGGGTTATTAACCGTCCTCCGTCCAAATGCATTCTAATGTCTTTGTTCAACATAGTGAATATTTTAAAATAGGAAATGGGATCTCCTATCTTAGATGTTTCGGTAGTACCAATCATTGTAATAGTTGAACATTACCCCCTCATTTAGTTAGTTCACATAGAAGTGCATTAGGAGACAATGTACTATATAAAATAGTGGGCTACTCCACTAGGAACCAAATGTAAATTCTAGTTTTTTTTATAAAAGTTGAAAAACCCCAAAACTGAATTAGAGGTTTTTTAATGTTAAATTTTTTTGAACATGCCACAGCAATGACTCATATTAAGGTGGTAAGATGGCTTCTATTTGAAGATCAACTTCTGCAAAAAAAAATTCTTTAGCCTTACATTTTTCATGCTCTTTCTTGTTCCAGAACAGAGGTATTTGGTAAAGTTTTATAGGTCTTTTTAAAGACATGGATCTTAGAATAGTGTATGGGTTTTTAACTTCTTGAAAATGGGGGGTGTTGGTGTTCCATACATCTCTCAAATATGGTCTGACATAAAGACTTCAAATTAGTTGTGACATACCTATCCCCAGTGAAAACTAGTGCACAAGACTGGCTACCTTTTTGAATTCTCTAATTCTTAATTATTTAGTCAAAAATTGTCCAGTGACCATTTACATGGATTCACAACTTGATGCACCTAGGACTTGTTTTTCTGAGGTGTTGAGTACTCCCAACTACAGTTCAAAGCAGTGGGTGGTTCAGTGCTTACCATCGCTGAAAATCAGGCCCTTAGTATCCTAAACTGGACATCCCAAATGTGAGGCATCCAAAGTTAGTGAACACTTGTTGGCCTTATTTTCTACCAACATTAAAAACAGCCCAATGTCTGTGGAGTTCATAAGCTCTGTAGAGTATAAAAGGCCTGTGCCATTGTAGTAGTAGTAATATAGCTCTAGGTTGGCAGTTGCAACTATTAAAATATTTTTCTTCCTTCTTTACTCAAGACACAGGATAATAGGATCTTATTAAACTTTCATTTGCTTCTGCTGCTTATTCCTCACCTGATGCCATAATCCCATGTGTGACATCACAGTTTAATGGGATATAGAGAAAAAAGAATGACATGTCAGGAGTATTAACTTTCAAGAAAAATCCTGTTTTCATCCATGTGACCCCAGTAAAGAAGAAAGGATGGAAAATACAGAAAATATTGAAGCAAAACTTGCTAACTTTTTAAGATTTCCATAAAACCAACATGTTTCAAAGTAGTAGCAATGTTAGTCTGTATCAGCAAAAACAACGAGGAGAACTTGTGGCACCTTAGAGACTAACAAATTTATTTGTACATAAGTTTTCGTGGGCTACAGCCTACTTCATCAGATGCATGGAGTGAAAAATACAGTTGGAAGATATCTATAACAGTACATGAAAAAATGTACTTTTCATGTACTGTTATAGATATCTTCCGACCGTATTTTCTACTCTATGCATCTGATGAAGTGGGTTTTAGCCCACAAAAGCGCATGCCCAAATACATTTGTTACTCTCTCAGGTGCCACAAGGACTCCTCGTTCTTTTTGATAAAGCCAACAGCAGTTCTTCAAGGATATTTACTCTCGAGGCTACTCTTTTAGTTTACTTTAAATTATGGTTTACGGATCTCAAAACATTGAAATTATTGGAGAGTACTGTGGAAGTTGATCCTATTGGGGAAAATAGGAGCCTGTATCGATAGGCACTTACATATCCCTCATCCTTGTAGTATTTGGGGAAGTTAAAATATGATGAACATTATGCACCTGTTAACAAACACATGAAAAACCATAGTCCGGGTGAGTTTTAGGCCTACGGCAGGGACAGCATTTCTCAATGCTTATGCACCAATTTATCACTTTTAATTCCTATTCCCAATGGGTTAAAGTTGCCAAGAAAGCTTTTCAAGCAAGGAGTTATGAGAAATTAATAAATAAATAAATGTTGGTAATGAGGGGGAAAATTAACAACTAGGGACATCCATTAGCTTTTCCTATTGGTGTCATCGGTGGCAAATAAATGGTAATGCAAAAGTCCCTTACAAGAGTACCCTATTTTTTTTTTCCTTCACCACCATCTCTGAAATAATGTGGTGTGACTTCCACACATCAGTTCACTGCCAGTGGTATCAAAAAGGTTTTACCCTTTCTGATTTATTTTCTCTCTTGCTGAAGACCAGTCATCTTTTCCACAAAAACCTTAGGGGAAAAATCTGATCTGGTAAACTGCATGGAAATAAAATGTGTAATGTGTAGTTGCAAAGACCAATATTTGGGTACCCACAGGTATTTTGATCCACCTCTGTCTCTTAATGCACATATTAGTCTTGTTTGGGGACTTTTTCCTCTATTTTTCTAGATTGATGTGAGACTTATGTCTGCTAGAAATTTCTTCTTGAAAAAACGTTCAGACTTGTCCTACCCACCCAGAATTTATTCACACATTTTCAATAAATATCTCCAAAACAGGGCTTGTGTGTTGTTTCCATTTATTCTTTGTTTTTATTTAATTATTGCCCTCACAATAAACAATGAATGACCAAAAATAAAGGGCCTGGCCATAGGCACCCAAAATGATTGTTGCTAGAGGACCAGGGCCTTTTCATCCAGTCCTGAAGTCAAGGGACCCTTCACACCTATTGTACTCAACAGGAGTTGAGAGCTCTCAGGACCAAAGCTGTTTTTCTCTGATAAAGCTCAAGTTAGTAAAGAGATCATCCATCGTAATGGATGAAAAAGCACAATGTAAGAGATAAATATCATTACTGTTAAAGAGCTTTTATGAGATTATGGTGTCAGTTTTCAAAACTGGGTACATAGGCACCTAAAATCAGAGCACTTACTTTAAAAATGCAGGGTCCCGCAGCTCCCATTGATTTAGATGGGATGTGGGGGTGCTTAGCTCCTCCGAAAATCAAACTGCTGTTATGTAGGTTCCTGTATATTTCGGAATTTAATTTCGAGACACTTTTTTTGCAAATGTTGGTTTGTGTGTATAGTTACAGGGAAAGAATATTAACCATATTTCATCCTGTTACTGCTTTCTTGGATTCGTTTTGTCTTTTGCACATAGTTTTGTGAACTTCAACTTTGCTAAAGGATTGATGTTGGGAAAGCAGCAGCTCTTGTAGGGCTGGGCTGGGCTATTTGTCTGAATTGCAGAAAGGTAATCAAAAATTGCAGTCAACCTTTCAAATCAGATCTCCATAGGAAATGTATCCTGCAAGCATTCACAGCTTCAAAAATAACCTGTTAGTCACTTCTTCCAATCTGAATCCTCAGTATATTGATAATTAAACAAAAATATAATTTTGATTTTACACTTTGTGAACTGCTTGCTTTTTATTAAATTCTGTAATTTGGGAGGCTATCGGTAAGAAGATATCCAAAAGTGCCCTTCAATTTTATTTTCGGTTAGCTGTCATTTCCTTCCTCTGTTACAGTGATAATTTGTGGAGATGCTCATATATATTGTACTGATACAGTAGAACACCAGAGTTACGAACTAACCAGTCAACCACAGGCCTCATTTGGAACTGGAAGTACGCAATGAGACAGTAGCAGAGACCAAAAAAGCAAATACAATACAGTACTGTGTTAAACGTAAACTACTAAAAAAATAAAGGGAGAGTGACATTTTTCTTCTGCATAGTAATGTTTAAAAGCTGTATTAAGTCAATGTTTAGTTCTAAACTTTTGAAAGAACAACCGTGACATTTTGTTCAAATATTTCAGAGTTACAAACAACCTTCAATCCTGAGGTGTTTGTAACTCTGAGGTTCTGCTGTAGATTGCTTTGTTACATGTAAGCTGAGTGAGTGAGGTGTCTTCCAGGAACACTGTGCCGAAAGGACCTATTTCTGAGTTTACGCTGTTGTAAATCTGGAGTAACTCAATTGAGTTAAATGGAGTTACTCTGGATTTTCACTATTCTGTCTTTGATATGCTATTTGTACCCATGTTACTTTTGCCTAACAGCATGAATCTGAGTTCTGATTTGTGAACTCTTTCCACTGAAAATATTCAAAATCTAGAATAGGTGAATTTGCCTAAAATAAAGTAGTAAAATTTCCAGCTACTTTTTTACCTTTTTTTGTTGTTTTGGCAGCTGAGACGGTTTTATGTGCTGTGGTGGTCTGAACATTTGCTTCATTCATTATCCTGAGGGTGGTGGACGTTTTCGCTACATCACACCTGAGCCATGGCCATTTCAAAGGAAAAGTTAGAAAGGGGGGATATAGGGAAGATTAGGTTGGAAGACAGTAGGTTAATCCTCACCCCTATTCCCCACCCCCGCCCCACCCCACTGCCTCAAAGACACATTGAGAGTGATTTTTCCCACCTCTTTGATAGGTTGTATAGACCCTTTGGCACCCCTCATGCCTATGGTCCAACCTGGTTAAGGAAAATAACAGCAAGCTAGAGAATTGGAGAGGCGAGCTCCAGCAGATGGCTCCCTGAATGGATCAGTGGAGAGAAGAGGACGCCTGCACTCCTCTGGAACCTAATTCAATGAAGCTGCTGCACTTCATTACTAACTAAGTGGCCTTTAGAGCGGGCAGCCTTACAGAGGAAGCTGCTCAAACATTTCCTGCAAATCAAGCTCCAGACTGGTCTGGGTTTTTTCTTAATGTATTTTGGTTCGAGGAGCCTCCTGAAATCCCCTTTCAGTCCCTGAGTCAGAATCGGCTTGTTTTGCTGATCTCCACACACACAATCAGACCTACTGATGGAGGAGGCTTTTGCTGCAGAGCAGCGAGACTGGAACTATGCTCATCCTATGCCTGTGAGCAACAGTAGCTCACTTCCTCGAAGTCACGTGAGAGTGCTGATGGTTGCTAAGATCTGCCTGCTCTGGGTAGGTCCTTTCTGTTTAGAAGGCCAGAACATTTTCCCTTCTGACAAATCATCCTGAGCCATATGTGAGCTCAGGATGGAGGAGTGGGACTGAAACTTTCCTGGAAATGCCCACAAGGAGTAAAATCAAGGTGAGTTTCCAAGTGTATTAGATTTCTTTTAAAAAATAAAGTGAATAGATTGAACAGAAAAATAAATAGGCTGCTAATCAGAAATTCAGAATAATAGAACAAGATCACTGACTTTTTTTAAGGCTCATCACGGCTCCTGAGGCAGGAGACCTATTAAGAAGTGATTTGTCCTCAGCCCACTTAGAGGGGAGTGGGACCTCAAAGGGGAGGACCGAGGAAGAAATTTCTAGAGGGCTTTGCACAAGGCAAGCCACAAAAGGACTCACTCTGGCCATGGTTGGGCACCCATGCCCATAAAACACACCAAAAAGTCTAGCCTCCCTAACCCCCCTCCACCCACAAACTCACAAGAAGGGGAGGAAGAAGTACCCCAAAAAACCCAGAAGGTATTCATCCCCTAATGCAGACCTCTCCTCTTTCGAGGGAGAGGTTTTGGACCCCAAATCTGAGCAGGACTTGGAAAAATGCAACAAAAAAATTCTCCCCCTGGGAAATTTGAGGCAACATGCAAAAAAAATTGTGTCCACAGTCAAGATCCAACCTGAGCAGGCTCCTGAGGATAAGCCTCAAAGCAAAAATGTCCCTCAAGAGAGCGATTCCCGTGCATTCCTCCTTTGAGGATGTCATCTGAGAGGAATGGGAAAAACCTGGAAAAGATACTCATTAACAGGCATGACCTTAGTTTCTACAAGCTCCAAGAACCAATGTATGCTATTACTGAAGTCCCAAAAGTTGATGCTGCAGTAGCATCCCTAGCTCAGAACATTGGTTCTCTCTTCAGAAGGGGAATTCTTCCCTAAGGAGCCAATAGACAGCAACGTGGAAGCCACCCTCAGAAGGGATTTCGAAGCTTCCTCCACCACCTTCAGAGTATTCCTCACAGCCACATTTTTGTGATAGATACGATGTCCTGCCTGGGGGACATTAGGGCCCTAAAAGCAGGGCCAGCTCTAGCTTTTTTGCCACTCCAAGCAAAACAAAAAAACCAGCAGCCACAGGGAGCGCGTGGAGGGCGGTCAAGATGGCTCACGGGGGTGAAGGGCGGTGCCCGCCCGCTCCCTCCACCCGTGGGCAGCTGGGCGAGAGGGCTCCCCCCTCCAGCCTTGGGGTGCCTCTCCCGGCCTGGCAGGCAGAGCCCCTGGGGCGTGCAGGAGGTGCTGGCTCAGCCGCTCCTTTAAAGGCGGCTTAGCCGGGCTGGGCTCAGAGTGGCGCGGGAGGCAGAGGCCGGTGCAGGCAGCAGGGAGTGGCGCGTCCTGGGGAGCCCGGCGGCACGGTGAGCAGCGGGGATCGCTAGTTCGTGCCCCTGCAGGGCTGGGCTGGGACTGGCGGAGCTGCGGCCCGGGCTGCCAGAGACAAAAAAAAAAAAAACCATGTCAGGCTGGAATGCCACCCCTTACAATGTGCCGCCCCAGGCATGTGCTTTCTCGTCTGGTGCCTGGAGCCGGCCCTGCCTAAAAGACACAAACTACCCTGACATGCACATTTCTGGGGGGAAGTCTGGGACTGGGAATTTGCTGGTGTCATACAGTATAGCTGGGGGTGATTTACATGCTGGAGGCTGTGTGTGGGCAGACCAGGAATGGTTGCTCTCACAGTGAAGCAGTGTAGAAGGCACCGTAGGTTGGAGAATTGAGGGCAGAATCAGTCCAGATTGTACGCTGGGTAATATTACAATGAGATATCTCCTCTTTAGAGCATTAGGTAAGAGAGTGGCAGAAAATACTGCAAAATATAAACAGTCTCTTCCTTCCACATTGAGTGCTTTAAGAAGGAAATACAAACCTGCCTTCAGGCAAAGATGCTCCCCACAAAAGTCTCAGAGGAAGGACAGCAGATGTGCCAAGGGAAAGTCTTGGGACGTAGGCACGAGCAAAAACCCCAGAGGAGACTTCACAGCTTCCAAAACCCCATTAAGACAACAAGCGAATGTGCCTCTACCCAGATCTGAACAGAGGAGGCAAAATCACCCATTTCTCAGAGGAATGGTCTGCATCAACCACAGACAAGCCAGTAACAGAAACAATGAGTCAGGGTTACTCCCTGGAGATACAGGCTTCACTTTAACCCTTCTTCATCCAGTCTCCCATTTCAGCAACTCTACCAAAAGCAAACTCGTCTGGAACAAGATCTCTCATCTTCTGAACATAGGAGCGATAGAACGAAGTTCCCTCAGAAGAGGGGTTCTCAGAGTTCTTCTACTTGTCATCCAGAAACCCACCGGGAGGGTGGAAGGGTCAGAGCCATCCTTGATCTCAAGAGGCTTAACAAGTGAGTGAGGGCAACAAAATGTTGGATGGAGACTCTACTTCTACGGTGTCTTTCCTGTCTCAAAGAAACCTCCTGACCTTACTGGATTTGGCAGATGCTTGTTTCCAAATTCCCATACATCCATGTAATTGCAGGCTTCTGAGATTTGCTTCTGGCACATATCGCTGACAGTACCAAAAGCTCACTTTCAGTCTCTACTTGGCCCCTAGTGTCT